CTGTCCGTCGCGCTGTGTGGAGTCGTGCGTTAAGTCTTTTTCACCGCTGTATCACATTCTACTGTCGGACCACACGCTACCTGCATCATCACTCCTCCTCTGGGACTGAATGGACATTTAGATTACTGCCTACTAAGGCCTTTCCTTACGGGGACCATCGCTTTTCATACTCACCGTGACCTCTTCGGGGAGGTACTTTGAGAATCCCCTTGTCCAGACGAGAAAGCTTTTGACTTAGAGCAGTTTGGTAACTTTCTAAAGGCGGTGAAGAGCGAAACTGAAATCGGAACCCGTGACCTTTCCACGACGGAATCTGAGTTTATAGCCACTTTGCGACCAGTCAGTATGTTGTGTTCCGTTAAAGTGATGATAGCAGATCCTCCCCGACAATGACCTCGCGATACTGATGTGCTATCAACAAACTCAGCCTCTCTCTGAGGACAGCTTGAATCAGTGCTAAATACTATTGGCTGCCGTTGAGCTCTGTGAAAACAGCCAGGTACGGGATTGTGCACACACGAACAAGAAACCTCACTTCCTAACCACAGTGGGTAGGAGCCGAGGAGGCATAAGAAGGGATACAGTGCAAGTACTGACCGGTTTTCGATTAAAAAACGCGAAAGACCCAGGAGATTTGTCCCACGCTTTCCCTGCCCCCCCCCCCCCCGTAACATTTTATCAAAGTCGTGAGTAATTCGGGAGCTGGTGTTTCCTTTCTTGGGGACCAGCATGATGGGCTGTGGAGTTTGGCCTGCCAGGAGGGACTTGGTGAGTATCACGGATGCCTTCCGCGCCTCTCTCCACCAGTCCAAGTAGCACTGTGTCCGTTTTTGTCTCGAAACTGCAGTCTCCTCCTCTCCCCAAGCCTCTGCTTTTGGGAATCCAAACCCAAACGTTCTCTCTCCGCCCGTGTCTCCCTTCCTCTGCTGGGAAGGCTCCCTAGCTCGTTTCAGCTCATTCAGATGACATTTAAAAGAGACCAGGATGTAATTTTTCTAATGGCAAAATACAGTATGAAGGAGGGGAAAGTTTTAATCAAGTGGGTGTATTCTCCGGAGGGGAGCAAGCACTTCATTTTAATTCCTTATTTCCCTTTGATGAAAAGTTTAGTGAATTTTTATTATGTAGAATTTATAAGACGGCTGGGTTTAGGTAATCAGCTTTAATATTTATACTCTTAGGGAAAGAAATAGGAATCATTAGTAAGCATGCATAATTAATGAATAAATTATATTTCCCTTTGTTTTCTTTCAGGTACAAGGAAATGCTAGATCTGGTGATCTCACCCAGCCTCACTGTAAACAGCGATTGTCCGGGTAAACTGAAGCTTAGCCGCACCGACGCCGATGTCTGGACTCTGAGTGACATAGAAGGTAGGCCTCCTGGCGTGAGTTTCGGTGGGACCTGTGTTGGTCCCCCCTGCCCCACCGCGGAAGTTAGTAAGGGACTGGCAGCCTCAGACACGCATCCTTTCGAAAATACCGTCATGATGACAGTTTCTCCTCCCGCCATCGGGATTGTTGCCTCTGGACCAAAAGAAACTTTGGCATGCCCTGCTGACAGTTCCCATCTAGTCGGTAGAGGTGTGAGCGTGCTGGTTCGCGTTCCGAACTTCCTGTCCCGAGAAACGCTGACACTTCCACCGCCGCTGATAGTCAGTTTCGGGTGTGTTACAGGCCCCGGCCCTGGGTGGGTCCTGCGGGGTCCGGGCTCCAGCTCAGGAGTCTGTCCCTCAGCGCTGTCCCTCCCTGCCCCCCAGCCATCCTGCATCCGGGCAGGCGTCTTGTTTACGAAGGTTTGACGCTGGGACCAGAACTCGTCTGCCTTTGGCTTTCAGGTTGGGTTGGAGTCAAGGAAGCAGAGGAGAGTTAAGCTGTTTAAAAAATTATTGGCAAATGGTGCAGCCGAACTAGTTTTCGCTAGAACAATTCCAGCTATTGTTTGCTCTGTTTGGGATCTGTCAGCCTTCCTGGGAGAGCTGGGAGTTAGCAAAAGGCATTACGCTATTATGTGTAACCATTGGGCTTAACCCTTTAGTCGGGCCCGCTTTCGGATTTGCCGCCGGTGTCCCGGGACCCCGGGCTGACTCTCCTTCGCTGTCTGTGTATGATGCCAGCTCAGGGGGCATCGATCCTGCATCCTGTCGTGGGAAACCAGAGCCTTGTGTCTAGTCAAATACAGCATCGCAAGGAATTTGCTTTTAAGCAACGCCAGGCTTCCACGAATAATGATTACCATCACCGGAGCAATGACATTTCCCTCGCATGCTGGTAACAAAGCTGGGAAAAGTCAACTAAAGGTACCACCAAGAGGGTCTGGGCTCCCCCACCAAACCACATGCTAGAGAACACGCCCTCATTCTTCGTGGCCCTTTGGAGTGTCCGTGTAAACTGTGCTCTTTGAGAGTTTGAGACAATTTATTAAGCCCTGTTCGAAGACAGTCATTCTCTTCTGAGTAGAGGCACTGTTCGACCCAGGACCTCATTTCAGAGCCAGGCAAGCTAGGAGGAGGAGGAGGAGGCTGCCGGGGGAGGAAGATCCAAGGCTGAATCCCAGCCCCACTGCTCCCCAGACCGGTGGCCTCGGGCAAATTGTTTAACCTTTCTGAGCCTCCGTTTTCTTACCTGTCAAATGGGGGCATAATCACGACCCACTTCCTAGCCTGCTTACTGCTTCCTGGCACACCGTGGGCGCGTGGTACCATGGCTGAACTTGCTATCCCATGGTCATTCTCCTCTGAATCAAATAACCACGGTGACTGTAAAACCACGGCTGCAAACTGGCAGCTCGCGACAAGTCTGGTCTTCAGGTATGTCTTTGTTTGGTGTACAACGTCCTTTAAATAAAAGTGAACTTGA